TCGACATATCTTGTCATCAAGTAACACTGCTACGAGGTAGACAATTGATGGAAATCTTCAATACAACTTGGGTGTCAGGAGTTTGCTCCTCTCCTGTGCTTTTACAAGTAGGTTTACCTGCGCACATTTAGTACATTTCTCAAAAAATCTGATCCTTGAATTATTACTTTTAATCGGTCTCGGCAGTGGGTTTTTTTTGACTATTTGTGACGTATGCTGTGTTAGAACTTTATTTCACTTATTGCCATTAATTGGGACGTAATGCTTAAGGGATGACTACACACAATTGGTATACAACTTTCTAGATTTAATTTCAAAGCCTCCACCATGATGGCACATGGCATTAACCTGAACTCCAAGTTTCTTTTTTGGAAGCGAGTCTGAATTCAGGATATTTAAGTGCTTTGTCTTTTTGTTAAAAGTAGAATGCCTTGCATGCGCAAAAAAGGACTTCTTAAAACATGAATTAGATCAAAATACGTCTATTACTTAATTCTTAACTTTGATTACGCAAGTACCAAGGTTTACGGCCATTGTACCTCTTTTGGGTTATGCCAACACCCTCTCAGCCGTTCCGTACGTTGAAAACATTCTATCCTAGTATTATGCCTTCATTCGCCTTTAGGAAAGTCTCGGAGAGCTACATTGATGACAGCTGAAAATGAACCTTATCCTAAGAGACAAGTTTCCTAATTTATATTACTCAATGTTAGAACATAACCTGATAATAGATGTGTGTATGCTAGAGAAGGGAAAATCTATCAATAATCCCAATAGAAGGGTATCAAAGTACGTCTACCCTCGACAACCACCCCAGTCCTGCGTTCTGTAGGAATGCTAGTATTAACTGAAACTGACACCACCCGTGACCGTGGATCATGTAAAAATGTGCGTTGCAAACCTCTCTATCTTACCTCTATAAAGATGCCATTTAAGACGCAACATTGCTACTAGTTACATGGAAATGGGATAGATATAGGCAGTACTGGGGCAAAAACAAAGTGGCAAGGAGGAAGGCGCCGAACCGCATTCCCACAAAACAGTTCAAAACACTGTCCTTCATCAAATAAATCTACTTTTAGGTCGGTGCTCTTACGACTAACGGTGGACATGCGCGATGGTCAATACAATCCTTCTTCACTCAATACACTTCCCAAACAAGATGCAATTCCACACCCAGTAGAATTTCTGAAAGGGATCAGTGACGCAGCAGTTAGATATCATCTTGGTTGCATGCAAGTCAAGAGCTTAGGGGGTTTATTCGTGGCTTGTTTTTCATCCATCACGTACTAAGTAGAATGCTGACCAAGGCGATCGCCAGCGACGATGCCCAAAAAAGAAGAGGGGCTCTGAAAAAGTTGATTATATTGTTTAATGCTTCATTTTGGATTCTCGGGCACTAAAGGCTCGGCCGTTACAAAATTCAACCTGCGGCATAGGCTTATAGCCAGTAGACTGCAGTGGACTGCAGCCCTTCTGTAGGTCACCAGTGCATATTCTGACCAACAATTATAACTTCTTCCGACTTCAGAAAGGACAAGGGGCAATGCAAGCTTTCCCAGAATGTCGAGAAGAGCATCTGGTCTGGTATAGTAGCAATGTCGCCATATCAGTATAGATCGCTACTTTAGAGTTAATCTTTCCGAAGAATATTTGCAAACAGTTTTAAAGTTAAAGGAACTTACTGAAGTAGATACTTCTTGAGTCAGAAGCCTATATCGTGCTCCATAAATAATCACATCTTACATTCTGTCACAGGCAATCTTTAGTCAATTTGAGACTTATTTATTTAAAATTATTCCTATTTAATTTTTTTCTCGAAACTGCCTCATGGCACTCTCAATGTGATACATTTGTGGCGTTTTACATAAGTCTTTATCCAAAACAATTTTAAAGTATTTACTTATCAAGCTTTAAGTAGTAAACATACGATTGATTAAACACCCTAAACCTGATTAATCACTTGACCTTTTGAACCATTCAACGAAATGGATCATCAACCTCGACTGCTACTTGACGAAGCAGCATCTGTCAGTCCACTCCTTTCCCAAACCCACGCAGATCCGTGACCTCAGGGTAGGAGAGAGAATATGGGCAAATGATAAAAGAGAGCTCAACCCAGGTACATAAACGTCATCATCACCACCAGCACCATCAACATCAATAGTGGCAGCGGCAGCAGTAGCGATAGCAGCGTCGGTCAACAATTGCTGTTGAACTAGTCAACTGTCACTACTCTTGTGCACAACCAAATAGCCACCATTCACCGGATCGGGTAGAAATACGAATTGCCTGACATATTGACAGCTTTGCTTTTGCTACAACTAGCGTAATCGCCTGCCCATAACTTTGCCACCTGCTGCCCGTGTCCAATGGCGGTCGAGGAGTCACTGCATGCATCCTGTTCCCCTATTCCGCATTCAATCCTTTTAGGTACAAGTCATTTTCCCATGAAACAGGAGTTTGTGCTGCACAATATCGCAATCATGCGAACCCAGTTTTCATTCTGACATTTCTTTCCCCAGAAATGTAGATGAAGCAACTCACTGTTAACCAGGCAACAGGCGCAACCCTAACTACTCAGCCTCGGTGAACGCTCCTCATTTTAGCATCTGCTCTACCCTCAAAACTGACTTCGTTGATGTGAATTACTCTAATGTTTGTTTGTTTGCACTGCAGCATCTTCCCCTTCCTCTACGTTGTTGTCCAGACAGCCCTTTAGGCATCTCCCATTCATTCTGCCTCCGTAGTTGATGCAGGTGGCAAAGCTTACCCACCAACTGATCAAATGCTCCCCACATTCGCAACAATTCCAGACACCACCTACATTACTTGCACTCTTCGTCGGTTTAGGCTGACTTTATACTCCCCTAATATGCTCTTCGATTGGACAATATGCACCATGTCACTTCCACGATTTGCTATTCTCCACTGTTTACTTCTAACATCCGGTCCCCAATCATCTAGATTTAGTAAATATTATGGCATTTTAAAACCAAATTGCAGAGTTAATGCATATTCTGCACTGACTTGGGGAAGAGGAGGTCAAAGGACTCGCTACTAACCATTGGGACAAGGTGGTTGTGAGAGCGCACCGATGCTATTACGCACGCATTTGAGTAGCACTGGTTTCATCGTTATGGCTGCGGCAATTCATTCCACGATTTATCAACCTCTCTCTTTCAATTTCCAACTCCATACATCTCAACACATTTTTTGTTGGACTCCAAAACAAATGCACATGTTGTACACTTGTGCAGCCTTTTCCTTCCAAATCTCATTCATTCTCTATGTGCGCCTGACCTACATATATAGTGATCTAGTTGGTAACGGTTTTGACGGAGTTCATTGTTTGTTCATTTATCCGTCAATAGAGGCGACCTATTATGTGGCACTTGAGTCATACCTGAAGAAGTCAGAAGACAGGATTGTTTAAGTGCAGCAAGCAAAGGGGTGGTAGTGACATCTTGACTTTCAAGTCGACTCACGACAAAGAGCAGTAGCAGGCTACATTGGGGAGGTGGGATCGTGCTCCGTCATGACATTTCCTAATATGTTGCTGATCTTCTCGTAAGCTGAGTCATCCCAGAAGCATTGCACCTGAGCAGATTTGTAGCCTTCGAGATCAGGGGGGAGAGGAAGTGAGTGTATGTACGCAGTGTGAAGCGAGCAGTGCAGAAAGGAGCATGTCAACAGCATCATTGGCTTGTCTACCAAACATCGAACCGGTGAATTGCTTCTCACTTACTTCGCACGCCTGCAATCCTTCTTCTTCTCCCTCCTCTTCTTCTTCTTCTTTTTCTCATCTCTATTGTCTGCCTAATTTCCCCAACGCTTCTGAACGAGAAGAGGTGCCAATGTTAGCATTTACCCTCTCACTGCCACTACAAGTGGGTCAACTGCTCTGCTCCTCCAGTGCCATTCAAGGGTTTGATGATTCTAGACACTTGCCTTGTCATTTCGCACTAACTTGGACTTGAAGTAAAGTGGATTGACTCGCTAACCTCTCTTCTACAGGAAGGTTGGGTGGATAGTGCGTGAACCGGTGATGTGTAAATGGCTCTACGAAAGCACAAATTCGTTTGTGTTCACACCACTGCTACACTCTGCACTTCCTACGCTCCCAAGCTTACTAATGACTTAATGGGCAAACTAACCGTGTTTGCGAATGCTCCTAACTAATTTCCTTTATCCCTCTTTAAGAATGATTAATTAGAGACCCAAAATTGACCAATCAGCGTAGAGAATTTCAAGGATGCAGGATGTATGAATGAGTAGCAGGTCGCGACTGCCCTGGAGACGTGGGAGTACAAAATTTGTACTGTGGACGTGCATGAGGGTTTAGAGGCTACTAGAATGGCCCAGAGGCCATGGTGATGGATGGAAAGGCAATGTCCAAGCCCTCTACTGCCTGCAAAACCGAAATGATGAGTTCAACATTCAATCAAAGTAGCACAAGATCTTATCGCCTTAGTGAATTCCATTGTCTCCTTGGTTGAATCACTGCAGAAACCTTCTTTGTGATTGGTTATGATACAAGTCAATTGCAGAGCCAACTGCTTGGGCTAAAATCCAAATTTGGAACACGATTTTATACACAACAAATTCTGCGAGGAAGTAGAAAGCAATAAGGGATGGACAACGCTAAAATGGTCACCAACGCACTCAGACACCGTGTCGTGTGAACAGTCTGACTCACAATGGTAGCGTGTGAGGGATGTAGTTAGTCCAAGTCAACCAGTCGGCAGACGGTTCGTGCAGTCCGGGTGCATCAGGCAGTGAAAGGGCAGCATGACTAAAACAAATAATTGACAATGACTCGCCTTACAGTTTGACTCTAAAAATAGGTAGGGGAACGGTTCTCACTTTCATTGATTCACTAAATCCTCGATGAATATTGGATGCACTGTCAGTAATACAAACTGGTGGCACTATTCGTGAAGACGGGTGGGAATTGCAATCAAAAACTTTACTTGCATCCTCCGTGTTTGCTGTCCCTTATGGCTAGAATAAACTTTGAGGATGTTGCAAAACATGGTGAATCCATCAGCAACCTATCATGGAGGAGGTAAGGCTGTTGAAGCAAAGTCGAAATGATCTTGTGGCGGCTGTGGCAAGACAGGTCGAATGAACATCTAACCTAACGCTTGATTTGGCCTATGATGACCTAAACGGCACGGTGTCTCTCCCACATTCGCCATAAGCCATACCAGAATTGAAGATGATTTATTATCTGTGTCCGAAGAGGAGTTAATAATGTCACTGATAAAAAGATCACTGACAAGTAAGAAAAGGTAGTCATTAGGTTTTCATTGAGACCAGAGAACCTCATCCGTGCTACTACATCCACAGGTTCATCCTATTTCGGAATTTTTATAGGGGAATGTAATTTACTGATCGACTTGCCACAATCGTCCGCATGTCGCCGTTCGAATAAACTTTATCCTGAAAGCAGAGCTATTCAATAAAGGAGAGGATTAAATTCAGCTTTATGGAGCTAGTGTTCCTCGCCTGTTAGTCCTCAACATTTTCTCTTTTCACTTGTCTGGCTGAGATGAGACACGGCAGAGTTGTCGATTTCCATACAGTTAGCATTTTCCTGTCAGTGTGACAGAGTTTCAAGGTGGAAGCTTGCCAATCCTTTGGGTCTAGTTTCTCTTCCATGGTTGACTGGCTTCACGTAGAACACCAAATTGCCTCGACAACTCATCTCCATTTAGTCATCGCAGATCCAATCACCAATGCATGTTGTGGTCTGGCACCATGACTTTACATGTTTAGCGAAGTCCCCGGGAGCTACAACAATTTGCAGAAAAATCGGCTAAACACAATTTATAATAAAGAACTGTTTTACAAGTATTTACTACATTATTTTGCCCTTTCTGTTAAAGCAGAAAGAGGTTTGTATCTCGCAGTCACCTAAACAAAGTGCGCCAAGAATAGCAAGACCATAAGTGACCACCGCAAATATGATTTAAGGGACGACTGAAGGCATTTCTCCCATGGTGTCAAGATTTCATGCAGACACGTATGGACAAACTTTTTCCTCTTTTTGTCGAAATGTGGCTGCATTTCGTTGGAAAACCTTTCGTACTTATGGTCCACTTTAAACACTTGACAACTACACATGTCCGATTTTCGAAAAAGGACTAGGGTAGTGAAACGGTAGCGAAAGTGTTTGTTGTAAGCATTTATATCTGAAGCCAATTGCTTCATATTCACCTCTCGAGATGGCGAAATGGTGCACACCTCCCCAGGGCGACTCACCCATCATGTTTGAACAGGGCCACTGTATCCCCATTTCTCATAGAGGAAGTAGGAGATCCAGAGCTTCATCGTGCATAATGAGCTGCAAAACAGCAAGGTGAGAGTGAGGACAGTAATAAGGCACTTCAACTGTCCATGTCCTTTGAGTCGAGTCGGGTGGGTAAATGGGTGGGAGGGTGGGTGATGCTAGCGACGGCTTGGTGGGACATGCACATCGAGTAGTGAAATTCCACCAACACAAAGCAGAGGTGTGTGTGCGTGTGTGTGTGGCTATGAATCACACGTCTTCTACACCACCAGTATCACAGCCATTAGGGAACGGACGGCCTGATTAGGGTGCCTGCATGTTCCTCTCAGGCCGCTTTCTCTCTCTCTCACTACCCCACCTCCTCCTCCACTGCCTCCTCCAACACTCACCTCTGCATTCCAGGGTCCCACTTCGTTGCCTGTGCCCGACAGGTTAGCGGAGGAATTGAGAGCAGTGAATTTGTCCCTCTCGATTGCACCTTCCCCTGATAGTTTATTTTTCTCCCATTTCTTGTAGCATCGAATTCAGGGACAGTGGAAATTGTGAACCAAAGCGCCAAACCGCATTTTGTGCTTCCATATCACGAACATATTTTACAGTTTCGCAAACTCGTTAGTGATTTCAAAGATTTATCCTTGTAGCAAAATTGCTAAAGAATATTCAACAGCTAGCATTAGTCTTCACTGTGCTTTTAAGTGAAAAATTTGTTTCCTACAACACCACGAGTGCTTCAGGAAGGAGAAAATTGAAAAAAGCAAGAAATACTCTCTCGATGAAGGTAAACTTGACTAGTTTTCTATACTACAAGTAAAAAATAATTACCAAGAAGTTGCTATTTACAAGTTGCCTTTCATCGTTGATTTGGTTGTGCAATTGTAGAAGCCAGATTGTGCTGAGGAGGAGGAGGCGCTAAGTAGGGAATAAAGTGCATAAGCTAAAAGTGCAAATAAATGTCTTATTCATTTACCTGAGTAGTGTAAAGGCACTATGCTACTATGCTATGGTACTGTGAAAGAAAAATGCTCCAACCTGTTAGCAGAACTGCATCGAGTTACTCAGAATAATCCCCCATTATTTTTATTTTCCTTCTACCCGATAAGATAGCTTTCGCAAATGCCATCCCACCATGCGGTGCCAAAATGCGACATTTGCTGACTGCGTTGTTGGTTTTAATGGAGTGGGTGTACAGTCCTCTTCCGACCCTACACTTTTTCTTCTTTTTTATTGTAGAAGTGAACATGTCTAAATCAAAGAGCTTGCAATCGCGTCCGGTTATGATGCTACTTGCCAAGCTCTCGTGTTATTTGAAAGCACCATTCCCGTAGTCCTTGAGGCCTAATCATGAATGGATGCATGCCAATGCACAGCGATGCTTTAAGCATTTGTTCGATTCCTCGTTTGGGTTTCTCGGGCACTTGAGGCTCCGCATTTGCATTTCGGATTGGGCAGCCTGACCCACGGACCAGGCTAGTTGCACCTGTCCCCATGTATTCGGCGATTATTCATATTCTACCTCACTATTATGCCCCCTTTCGTCTTCAAGAATGTCTCGGACACTACAGTGCTTTCTTTACTCTCCATCAAGCAATTACCACTTAGAAGCTAGACGTTGTGGAAGCATCGATGAACAGTTATGTGAATCTTCTCACACAACCACCAGGCATATTGTTTGCCAACTGCCAACAGGACCTGGGTTGGTCTAGCACTATTAAGTCAGTCAGACATAGTCAGGAAACAAATATACTTTTATTGCTGAAGTAAAGTTAACTTAGCCACAGGATAGCAAATACGTGCCAGTTTTGAATTATCAAGACTCAATGAATTTGGATTCAACCCATCTCACCTCCTTTAGTTAGAACATACGCAAGCCTCTCCAGTTTATATGTCTAAGTAGCATATTTTCCTCTAAAGCATTGCAGTGATACTTAATACTCTGAAACAATTTAAGCCCCTCCGGGAGACAAAACAAGTCATAATTCTGGGGCAGAATATGTAATGTCGACCTACAGAAGGGCTGTGGTGCTATTTGCGTGGTCCGTGCACACAAGCATAAAGACAAACCCTCCAATGTCGGCAACACCCAACAAAATGTCAACCTACTAATAAACGAGTTACAGTTCACACAAAGATGTTTGGGTGTGATTCTTCTGCAACAAGACATTTGGCAAGGGCACTCACTTCCATGCGTATTGCACAGGCAATATTACACGCTAATGGCAAATCCAACCTGATGGCTTGGAAGGCTCTTTAAACTAGATGATAGGCGACTAAAGTGGAGTGAAGGATGATTCGAAAACGCGATTTAGAGTGAAATCAAATTGCGGTTGGCCATTGTACTCTGACAGCTGCAATTACTACCACGTTTATAATCACCAAGGCTAATCGTGGATAACGGCTTCCCACTTTGCTGACATTGAGTGCGAAATTTGGTCATGAGACAGGAGACAATGGAGCACTTGACTCGACTTTGCTGCACTTCTGTACGAAAAAGAGAATATTGCTTCCCACCTAGAAGATACCCAGTCTTCAAGAGCATGCACCGCCGGCACTTGGCTGTATTTTTCTACTCCGTTGGACGTTAAAGGAGGGAAGTAGGTGGTTCGAGACGTAAGTTGAACTGGTTCATCAAACCCTCCTTTGACGTCTGCATGGTTGACGATGCTCAAAGCAATCAGTAAATCGCAACATCTCGTGTACCAGACTCGAATGGAATAGCAAGGCCTCGAGACCATCATATTGTGGAAGCAGACTTGACTCCACTATCTAGACCACAATAGGGCTACCGAGGTAATCACCACTCTTCCATTTTCGTGTGATTTGATGAGGTGGTGGATGGGCTTGTCTGCCATGTGGTGACAGTACGGAGCTTGTTTTCCCATGTGATAGGTTGCAATGGAGCAATTAAAGCATCATTTACTCCTTACCCAACACATGCCTTGTTTTTAAAGGCAAAATCAAGGCTTTGTCCCTAACAATGAATGCGATTTTGGTGGAAATTTCTTGTCTGGATACTTGCATGAGATTTTCCTTGCCTCTTGAACAACAGTTTAGCGAGAAGCAGTTAAATGTTCTGCAACACCGTGCCGTGGAGATGGCTGGACGCTGGCTAGGCAGTTGAATCGAGCTGGCTTTGCAGCCTGCAAACTGCTTTCATTGGATCATTCGGAATGTCTCAATGTGCCTCAATTTTTGTGCACTTCCCTCCTGCATGAATGCTGATGAGCTTATCAACTTGCTGGATAAAGACCCAAAGTCTGTCTTGGTCTCTCGAAAGCTCGACATTGCGTAAATAAGGTGGATGCTATTATAGCATTTCTACAAAAGCAATTTTATTTCTGTTGCGGCAAATGGAGCTAAATATTTTGTGTAAATGCACTGCGACAATCAGACTGTTCAGTCCTTTGACACCCTTCCGCCACCCGATAGACCACGAGGTTAATACCTTCACATTACTCATCATACATGGATTCACCGCACTGCTTTCTGACCTTTGTTTTATTTGGCCGAAATGGAATTCACCAGAGAGTTTAATTTGTGCAATTTGTAAAATTTGAAGCATACGTTTTCTAAAACGACTACAAACGTCCAAACTTGTCTTCTCTCCTGCCTTAACGATGGAATTTGGTGAAGAACATAGTTATAAAACTATTGCATTTATGATATCCTTAGCCCTTTGGAAGGTCTCATTTCCCTCGCACAACAGTCCAAGGTAAGCAATTGTCCAACCCATGGTTTGGTCATCAAAGCTGCAAGCACTACTGGTCCCATTGGATAACCAGAAAGACTTTTCTTACCAAGGTCTAGGAATGCATCATACAGTTGGATTAATCCCCATCAGTAAGGCTGTTACTGGTAAATTGGCAAAATCATCGCAAGTTTAAAAGGTATATATCATAACCATCTGAATGCTGACTCCACCTTCATTGCCCTTGAATTGTAAAGTGGTGAATGCTCGATGCACTGGTCAGCACAAGTTGACACAACGGTGGAGAACGGGTAGGTTGTGAAACAGCAATATGCTTTGGGCATGCTTAAGTGCTCAATAATTCAACCCAAACAGGACGCATTACGCCTGCTACCCCTTCCCAACAGTACTGTTTAGTACTGTTCTCTGGACTCGTAGAAGTGACAAGCGCCTACACACATCTGCTCAGTCCTGTCGGTTCACCTGGCATTACCCTTCACTATACGCCTTCTCGGGTACTCTGAGAGGTGTGTGTGTGTGTACGTGTGTTTGCGATGGGAATACTCCGTGTTGTTCATAGTTAGATTACCTCGCTAACAGTGTCTCTCACATTATAAAACACTACCACTACTACCGCCATGGTGAGAAAATTCGCTCATCATTTAGCACAATAAGTGTGTGAAGATATTGCTGAGCATAAAACATTCCCACGTTCAGTAATGGAAGGATGTTAATGGAGGCTGATGGCAGACCAAGGTAATCCTTAGGAGGTGAGACAGGAGCGCACAAATTTCCCTGCCGCATTAAAGTAGGATAACACGTCTAATTTGGAAACAAACTCTTTTGTTCCTAGCAGTGAGTCACTGAATCTGGAGGCACTCTTCAATTTGTTTCCCTATGCAAATGCCTAGGCGTGCACAAACGGGGATGGTCTTTCGCGCCAGAGATGTGAGGGGAAATGGGTGGCATAATTTTAGCCAGGAAAAGACAAAATTTCTTGCGTGGAATTTCGAGGAGGAAACTGAATTGGCTCCATATTAATCTGTGTTTGCAACCCTGTTTATTTTTTGCTTTGTTCGCTTTGCAGTGAGTTGAATAATCGCTCAAATGGTATTTAAGCCATAAATCACATCATCCAGGTGGAGGTGGCCACGATGGGCGAGGCGATTTGATGGACATGAATAATTCATTTTTGCAAAATTCTAGTCTAAAATTTGAAGAATAAATCAGATTTATAAGCCAATGTTAAATAGATGGCGCTGATGTTGAAGCGCCATATTTTGCGAAGCGTCCATTCACTGATGGAGGCTTTTGTCTTAGTGCCTCTAACACAAGAAATTTCTGCCTCAAAGAAATGTTTTGCAATGCTTGAGTTTTGTTTTTGACTCGTGATTTTGGTTTTACGGGCGTTGGGGCTCTGCCACTGTGCACCCAATGGGCGGTACTAACTTCGAGTCATGCCAGTGGCTCCCAGAACCCTGTGATACACTGGTAGCACACATTTAGTTTAATGTCTTCTTTCGTTTTCACACAGGTCTCTAGGGGTTGTAATTTGTCAAAACTACAACATCTTTGCATTTCATCCATTCGTCTTCCTAGTGGAGAAGGTCATATTACTAAGCCACTGTTCTTCTTCTCCTTCTCACCGTGTCCGCATACCCACGGAAAGACAAATGCAGAAATATAGCAGATGTAAGCTCCAAGGACAGGTTGATCCTTGGAGCATTTTCATGGTTGCTCAGCTTACACACAACGCTAGGCAGGCATCTGCTTCATCGCACGCTCATTTGCCATCTTGTCATTCGTTGTTCCACTTGCTCAATCCTTTTGGATGCTGTGCACACATCCTATATATAAACACAAACTCAGATGTGATAACTCGGCTGACTCTTGTCCAAAAAATCACGCAATTCTTTCTAACAGAACAATTATTTGGTCAGAGAATGAACTGCGCATAAGTCATTCCATTCCGTTGCTCAAAACTCAACTGTCGTCAGTTAATAGCTGGGCCATTACCATACATTCTACAGCCTCTACCGAAGCCCAATTAAACAAGGAAATTGTACATCACAGTACTTGGTTTTGATTCTTTTTTACAACTTTCACAAATCTATGATTGTTTAGGCTAGATCTTTCTCGAATGGCAAACGTCACCCGACGACTCTGTTTTGAGGGCAAATAAATGGAGGCTGGGAAATGAAGCACAACCGAATGGTCGTATTAGTCCGTTAGAATGAAGGAATAATTGCCAAATTCAGTGCTCAAAATAACTCCCCATATCTACTGACCGAAATTCTAGGCCTCGGTATAATCATTAGCTGATTTCATCTCTGCTGAACTGAAGACGGAAGAAGTCATAATACTAAGGCTGAATGTGTTCCGCCGATGTGCAGAAGGACTGGTGGGTCACTGGCTTGACCCGGAGGTCATGCCGCCTAATGGAACTGTAAAGGCGAACCATCAAATACCTGCGAAGCCAAAATGATGAGGCAAATAAGTAATGAAGGCATTGCAGAATATTTGTTAATTCACAAAGGAATGAATGTGTAAATGCAGTTTTACCAGTCGTCTTAGGCAATAATAATTCCTTGAACTTTGTCAATGCTTACGTCTCTGACAGCTCTTTATAAATCACCTTGTGTTATAAATGGTCATTTTAAACAATGAAACTAAATGTTAAGCTGAACATCACTTTACTGGTTCTTTTAACCGTTGCATATTAAATCTTTCCAATTTTTGAGGCACACATTTGTCATCAAATATGATTTGTGGATATCGCTGCCAAAGTCTGAGAAACCGTTAAAAACGATCGAGGTCCAGATTGTATGCCCCAACTTCTTGTCGTGAAAATATGATCCCCTATCTTGGGTAAATATGTGGAAAACCATCTTCTGCATTCTCTTCCTCAGCAAATTTTGGGCAAAAATGTGGTTTCACTTCACCGCGCCCTGCACGTGCTTCATTGGACTTTGCCCTGCAGAGGGGAGCATGTTTCTCCTTTAGACAGTTGTAAAGTGGCAGCGACAAAAGTTAGGCCCCTCGTTATTAAAATGTTGTGTACTTGTAAGGCAAAACTAATTTCTTGTCTGATTAGCCTAGTCTACTGTTTTTATTGCCATCCGTTGGTTAAAACCATCTTTCCTTCCATCGTGCCCCATTGCTAGCGTATATCAGGGATAAATTAACCTCCTGAATGTACTTCACACCCACTGGATAAGGGCCATCTCGAAACCATCGTACATTAATTTTATCTATCCAAAGGACTGTTTACGCAAACTTACCTTCTTATGAAATCTTCACCATACTTTCTACCCACGTAACGTTTTACCGCTTTCTCAGGGCAGGTTAGAATTAGTGTTTATGTTTAAAGTGTTTACGATTGCAAAGGGGAGGTCGTCTTATCAATACATCTCATCCGACGTCATATCCAAGCTCTATTTTCGACTTCATTCATCTTGTAAGTAGAAAGGTTTGTATTAGCAAAAGCATCCTTTTCCATAATCAATGTTGACTGCCTGATGTCTAAGGCTCCTTCTGCAGCCACAGAAAGATGGTGTACCTACATTCACCCTCAAGAGGTTGTTTAATGTCCTTAATTTGTTCCCCTTTTCCCAACTGAAGATTATGTGGATTGTGGAACAAAGTCATCAAAATCATAATTTCGCATCATCAGCTGGCTACCATATTTCAGGTTGTATATGCTGTACATTAGGAGCGGTGTCTTTCACCGTGGGGATAGTTAAAATAGAGCTGAGATTAGCTAAATGGGGTCATATTAATGTACAAGTGATTTGCCCCACTTTCCAAGTTGCACAATAGTGACAAGTGATTAGTTTTAATGCAGCTGGAGGGCAAAAAGCTTTGTGTTGCTTGCAAATGAACATCGGATGCATGGAATAACCTCGCTTTGAAATTAACCTCAAAAGGCACGTGATAAAACAATGTAGTTTGTTGCCTTGTCAATGCTGTGACATAGCCATGGTCATTGAAAGTGAAAAGGTACCCACTTAAACCAATTCTCAAATAAATGGTATCCCGTATTGTTGGTCCAGACGTGGTGTAACAAGATTTTTAGCTTGATTTATCTACAGGGTCATGATTGGATAGCTTTTCTCACGTCAGAGGGAATTTAAGTGGCAATGCCATTTGCGTCCTGTTAGCTGATTGGTCAAATTGGGGACAAAGGTAATGGGAAATTGTCTTAAGTAACGATATTGCTTTTGAAGCGATATTTATGACCACGGAAGCAGAATCACAAACCGAGAAGTAGGGAAACAAACAGCGCACTGGCTAAGCTGTGGGTAAAAATGGTCTGCTTTTTGAAGCTCAGCTAGAGCGCAGTTTGTCATTTCATGTTTTAAAAAGAGATGAATTTTTGCATAAAATTGCAGCGAAAATATGCCTAAGCAATAAAAGTCGAGGAGAGTGCTTCAAGCAATCCTGCATTTGTGGGGACATGAACTTGCCTTGCTGTAAAATAAGCTACATTGAGAGCATACTACAGCCCATTAATGTTTCTTGCTCGAGGGAAAAAAAAACATAAAAGCCAGCCTAAAGATGGATAATTTAAAACGACCGGCTTCCGTAGTCTGAATTAAACGACTGAGCCTCGTTTTGTATGCCTTCAGTTTGCCGCCATCCCAGGCCAATCAATTTTCATCAAGTTATTGCAGTAAATGAAAGAGCTTTATAATAATTTTTTTATAAAAGACCCGTCAGAATGGAATATGTGCTAAAACAATTGCTTTTACGTCTGAATACTAGAATTCGAAACATTATAGCACTGCATAGCACAGTAAGAATATTTTCATTCCGCGAATGCAAATATTCAAAAATCTAAAATTCATCAATTTTATGCCAAAAGTAACAGCGCAGATGGAAAGACTAGCTACTTTTGCAAAACAGGCATCCCATTTGTTCAATTTGGCTTATCAGATCTGACAAAAGTAAACCAGACACTCCCTTACGTGGGATGCAGCGGATCGACGCAAATTTCTTGTCCTTGAGAAAGCACCCACAATCCCTTGATCTCATTCTCATTCCTCTACAATTCTAAATTGCAGACACCCAGGCTCAGTTTGTGATTATCCTTTCACGAATTCATCATACTCTTTCATTAAACTTGGACAGCGGAAGTAATTAGCTGGACGCGTGTTTTGCCTCTCATTTTGGATTGAGTTTGTGAAAAAATTCGTCACTTTTTTCCCTGAGGACGTAGAAGGAAATGCTAAGGTGATAGGGTCATATATCAATTAGTTCAACTTTCCTTTGGGAGAAGTTTTTTTTTTGGCAACAGAATGAGAAGTGCGCTGGGCGAGATGGATGAAGCCATCACGCAAATCAACTTGGACTTCGGTCAGGTTTTGATATCGCGAAAGGAGTTGCAAGTTGTTGGTTAGAATAACAGTAGTCATTGTCATTCGCCATTGGTGTTTTAGGTCAAACTTTGATCCTTAAAGTTTGTTTAGGGCTTTAACGAAAAGTTGAAGCAGAAATCCGAAGAAACGGGCATACAATGAAATTACGGCTAAGGTCATTCTCAAGTAGTCTTTTAGGCAGCCGAACAGGAGCCTAAGAATAGCCATCAGTGGCCAACGTCATCATTTAGATGCGCTATGGAGGAGCTCAATTGTTTGAGAAAAAGTTAGGCCGAATCAGGATCTGATAGTATATCGCCTTCCAGTAGTTGGGTTTTTACATGGGTAAATAAGAAGTCTCGGGCTTTGTAGTGTGGTTATTTAATCCTTTCCTAAACTCAATTTGGAGCATAAGTTTGCTGCTCTATCCTACTTGCCAAAGCGGTTCGCTCGTCGTTGCACAAATTTTTACAGTAAAATGTTAAGTAGAAATCATTGAATCCTTAGGTAGTACGAAGTTTGCAATGCCCTTGGTGTTGCTTCAGTATTTTAGGCCCGGTTAAGGTGTCTCTATTAATTTGCCTGTTGGCCCGGAGCTGGTTTTGCTCATTAACGATTCACCAGACCTGGTCAATAGGTCCAAGTGGGCGGACGGCCTCCTCCAAAAACACTGACGTGGGTGTTCGTAATTGGGCAACAGCCGAAGGTAGGCCAGGACAGTCATCTTGAAAACAGCCCTTCTCGGCGGGGGTTGGAATTTGCAAATTGTGTTCTTTAATAAAAGCTTGCATCAATAAAAATATGTTAACTTGCATAAAATAAACCTAAAGGACCGTGCACCTGTATTTATTTTGCCTTCTGTTTTATT